CAAAGCACAAGAATTAAGAGTATAGCTTACCGCTTTTCCCTTCGATTCACCGTTGCTGTTATGGTTGACTCCTTGCCTTTGCATGTCCATCGCTTTTGTTGGCAAGAACTCCAACCACCTTCGGTAATTTTTCTTTGGCTAATAATGTGCCAGGCACAATGCTTGACATTTTACTGACGCAATTTTCCACAAAAATGGACAACGGGCAGCGGCTAGTTGGACAATGGAAATTTCAAGGCAATTCACATGGGCAAGGACCCATTTTGCATACTGCAGTCTTATTCCATAAATTCCTTACAATATCTGCAAGATACCCCTGAAAAAGCCAGGCTCAACCTTAATGGGTAATTCCATTGCCATTCAGTTCTTAAAGTTGGGAATTTATTTGTAGCATTAAAAATATCTATTCGATAATAATGCTTAACAATAATAATTCTTATTAATGACAAGCATGTCCTTTCCATGCAACATATGTAGCAATCATGGCAGGAGCATCTATATTGTTATTTTCATAGAATAATTTTCCTTTTTCAAATAAAGAATCCCATTCATTTTCTCTAAATTTTTGAATGAAAGCCTTTGTTGATTTGACAAGGTTTAAAGCATTTAAAATATCTTGAAATTTACGCTATAGAGCTTGACAAAGTATATTAGTGATCTCTATAATTTCCTTCATAAGATGTAAAACAAACACAAATTTAAAAGACAGCAATGCATTATATGCATTATATCCTGCGAATAAAAAAATATATTAGTTACTTTCAAGATTTTCTTCTAAGTTGGAGAATTTAAACAAATTCTAGAGATTTCAATGTGTTATATTACCTTTAAATGCTTATCCATGTTGAGAAGAAATAGATCCTTCCTCAATCAACTTGCTCAAAAGAAGTTGCACTAAAAATTTTTAACATGTTTAAAACAGATTTCAAATATGAACTCCAACAAATGTCATTAGGTTACTGTATAGTGACAATTTGTTAAATCAATTTCCAATTTCAAGCTCATCATTTTCAATCAATCAAGCAATATTAGAAGTATAAATATATTTCAATTTATCATTGTGTTTAGAAGAAGATACAACGACATTGAAATTGCATGTCAAGTTTGGAAAAGAATTATACATGGGATGGACCTTTCTTGATTATGCAACTAAAGTTGATTACAAACAATGGGTTAAGCAATTAATGTAGTAAGCATAAGGACATTCTCTACTAATCAAAGCTTGAAGTCTATTAAACTCACCTTTCATATTCCTTGCACCACCATATTCTTGACCGCAAATATTTAGAATGTCAAGATCATAACGAGAAAATAGAGAAACAATAGCATCTCTTAAAGTTTTGGTTGATATATCTATCACATGAACAACACCAAATAAGTGCTCTCTCAAAATCTTTTTTTATCAACAAATCTTAGAACCAAGGCCATTTGCTCCCTCTTTGACTCATCTCTCGCTTTGTCAATAATAATACAAAACCTAGTATCACCTTTTTTGGGTGAATAATTTTTCTCACATTATTTGCCAAAACTTGTAAAATCTCTTTTTGAGCTTTTGATGAAGTATACAAAGCATTTTAAGAAGCATTCTCCATGGCAAGTTTAATATTCTCATTATAAAATGACAATAACTTCAATAATTCAATAAAATTTCTACAATTAAGCAAGTTGCTACTTTCATCTTGACCTCTAAAAGCATAATGTTGAGTTGTAAGCCATTTCACTACATCAACTAAAACTTGAAGTCGTAGATGATTGTCTAAAATTTGTCATGTAGTCTTTTTATGAAAAAAATGTTTAATATGTTCAAATTATTTTATCAAATCTTGACAACCTCTTTTATTGAAGGTATTACATGATTTGTAGACTGTCTAATGGATAGACCCTCTAATGGTTATTACATATAAATTAATATGCATGAACATGATGCATGAACAAACAATTGACTACAATGGAGTCTCAATGGTTGGAATAGTTTTGTTACTAATATAGAAGGCTTTCACACCTTCATGGTAGGAGTTTGAACCTCTACATCCCTTCCCCATCTCCTTTCTCTAGCAAGTTTGAACCACTAGTACTAGTAAATCAAAAATATAATTGACTATTGATCGACAAAAATAAATTATGGAAGCACCCAGCCTTTGCACAAGAACTAAATTAGGGTAAAGCCAATAGTTTTGGGTGTTTAAAACTAATGGGAAATTGGAAGGTCGGTGGAAAGTATAATGTTTAAATGTTAATGTTTAAGTGCATTTGGGATTAGAGTTGAAAGTTTTTTTTATTTTCATCATATAATACTTTTAGATATGTGTATTTGATAAATTTTTTTTTTTCAAAAAGTGTAAAAAGTCACAACATATCTACAATAATTTAATATATAAAACCAAAGCCTCATTTTGAAGCTTCTTGCCTATGACTTTTATATATAACACTTAATATTCAATATAATTATAAAATTACTTATTAAAACTCAATCTTATTTAATTCAATTATATCATAATTTATAATATTTTATTTAAATTTAACATTTTGTTTATTTGAAGATTTCATAAAAATTAAAAACTCAATCCCTCCTTATAAGTTACTCTTCCACAAAACTCAAAAAAACACTCATAATAAGAAACTTAAAAATCCTAAATTATTAAAAAGTAATAAATGTTATCTAGTTTAATAATTATATATCATATAATGTTTTTTAAATTTGAATTAATAATTAATAAAATTTATTATATTTCATTTATAATACTTTTAAAAAATAACTAACTAAATATCAAAAAAAAATTTAATCACAGTTTAACAAAACTATAACTACATGTAAATCCCAAACACACTCTCTACTGCTGTATGGAACATGGAGAATCTGTTGACTTCGTTGTGGCTATTCTCAGGAAGGTAACTTTCTAGTCCCTGAGTTTTAAATTTAGTTCCAGTTTGGTCTCCTATCTTTATCTTTTTTAAGATTCAATGGACACCTCAGCTTAAAAGAATTAAATATTTGTAGTTAGGACTAATTTTTAAAATTAAAATTTAAGACAAATTTATAGT